CGCGCCAGGGGCGGCGCCGGAGGCGCCGCCGGGGGTCCCCAGCGCGGATCCAAGAAATCCGCGCGGAGCGCAAAAAAAAATTATGTTTACAGCGTTTCATCTTCCTCAAAAAAAGGCAGGGGGCGGCGGTGATTCGCCAGACGCGTCTTCGACACACACACAACACACACACACACCGAACCCCCGAGCGGGATAAGAAAACAAGAAGCGGAGATACCCAGAGAGGGAGAGAGGGGGAGCAAAGGGAGCACACGGAAAACAGGAGAGAGGATTAGCGGGAAGAGGAGGCGGATGAAGAGGCAGTGGCGAGAGACAGCGAAGACAAGCAGAGAGAGAAAAGGAGGGAGAGAGATGGAGAGAGAGAAGGAGATGGCGAGAGCGAAGTGAAGAGGATGAAGAAGAGAGAATGCGGAAAGGGCTGGGCAGGTGAAGGGGGGGTGCAAGGGAGGCAGAGTGAGACTGCGAGCGAACGGGGGGAGAGACTGGGCAAAAACCGGCGGGCGCTATTGGACGCGTGGGGGGGGGGGGGCAGCAGAGAACGCGGAGAGGGAAGCGCCACTGGGTGCGAGCGATCTGTGGAGGCTGGGCGGGGCATGCATGTCAGCATCCGGTGTCCGTGCGAGACCAGCGCGGCCCGCTGCGCCTGACGCACTGGTGGAACTTGATGTCCTCCATCTCAACGGACTTGCCCTGCCGGCGCTGCTTTCCGCTCGCTGCCCCGACGGCTGCAGCAGAGGCAAGTCAACCGAGCTCGATTGCTGGCCACCCTGAACTTACCGCCGCGAGGACACGCGATCGCCTGGGATGCACAGGTTGTTCTGATGGGAGAGAACTCGGGCTGCACGCCAATCTTGATAGCAGCAGTGCCGCAGCAGGAATGAGAGATCGCAGCGAACTCATCAACCTTCGAACAAGGCGGGGACTTCGCTCTGCAAGACGAAAATACATGGGAGAATCGTATTTTAAGAGGTAGCGCCTCCTCATCATAATCCGCCACCGTGCCCTTGGGCACGGAATGGGCGCGTCCTCAGGTCCTTTGCCTAATCCTGAGGCTCACTGATCACTCCGGTGGATTCTTGAAGGGGCCGGACCCCTCGCTCTCAAATCTGATGGGGCTTCTCGCGTGCCCCATGGGGTTCCTGGCATGTTCTCGCATGACTTGTTCAGGTCCAAGAGGGCCTCACGAAGGGCCAAGAGGGCCCCACGATTCTCCCAAGATGGTCCAAGAAGGCCATGAAACGCTGAAAGATCGCCCCAAGACACCCAAAATGGCCCCCAGATGGCCCAAGAGGCCTCCAAGACACTCCAAGAGGCATCCGAAGAGGGGCCCAAGAGGAAAAAATCGCGCATTCCCTTGAGGTTTTCGAAAGATGATGCCATTCTGGCCTTTTCTGCTTTCCGTCGCTCCAAGACGGTCCAAGAGGACCCCAAGGCCACCCCAAAACGGCCCAAGAGGCCCCAAGAGGCGCCCAGGAGGCCCCAAGAGGCCCCCGAGAGGCCCCAAGAGGCCACCAAGAGGCCCCAAAGACGGCCCAAGAGGCCACAAAACGCTCTCCAAGAGGCCTCATTACTGCCTCCACGAGGCCCCCGAGAGGCCTCCCGCCTGGGGAAACACGAAAAACCGCCCAAAATGCACAGGTCGTGGGTTTTCGGGCCGTGAACGGCAGCCAAAACGGACAAGAAACGGCCAACATGGCCAAAGATGGCCTCCAAGTTCGCACAATATGGCTGAAGTTACGCGGATGCGTGGGGAAAGCTTAGCTTGGGGCTCTTTTTACTCCAACGCAGCTCGAACAAAAGAGCCTGCGGGCATGTTATGAATTTATGGCGTCCGAACCACACAAGATCCCGAACGCGCCGCCTGGCCGAGCGGGGGGCGGGCGGTGGGCCCGCTCCTCCTCGAACACCCCTGGGGGTCACCACCCCCTCCAAGGTTCTAGAAAGTGAAATTTAAACCCGCAGTGCCTCGACGCAAAGTCGCGGAGGTCTAGGCTCGCGCCTGCAGCGCATCTAACAGTACACAGCTCAAGGCCCTACTCAGACCACACCCCCTGTTCTCGCCGCCCCGAAGGCTGGAAGCGGGGGCTGGTCGTCCACCAGGTGTACTTGACCTGGCTCTGGGTGGCAGCCGCCCTTCTGCGGTCGCCCTTCTTTGGCTTGATCTTCACAGCTGGCTCGCTCAACCCCTCGTTCGGAGCACGACGTGGCCTCCCGCCGTCGCCGCCGCGCGGCAGGGCACCCGCGCGGCGCCAGATCGGCCTCACACACGGACAGAACCAGCAAATCAAAGAAAACCCTAGCGAAGCGAGCAGGAGCCCCAGGCCCACGCCCGCCATTGGCACAGCTAGGCTCACATGGGAGCCCTTAATCGCGACTCCCAGCGTGGTCACTGGAGTCAGCGCACTCCCGCCCATCTCCCGCGGCGCCTCGCACAGCTCAGTCGAGCTTCCCTGCGCCGCAGTGGGGAGCGACGCGGCCACTGCAAGCAACACCTTCAACAAATTCGACTGGGCCTGGAAGTCGGCCGGCATGGCCCCGACCCCAGCAACCCTCGAGGCCCCTGGCACGGGCACCTCCTTCAACCCGCAGCTCTCGCGGAGCCACTCGAGGCGCGTCCTCGGCAACACCTTTGCGCCGAGATCCGCCGGGTTGTTCTCACCGCCCACGGGCTCGATGGCGACGGCCTTCCTGGCCACCAACTGCTGGATCCAGAGCGTCTTGGCGGCAAGGTCCTTGGCCCGCCCAGTGCCCCGACGCCTCGATAGCGCCCTCGCACTCGAGCTGTCGCATCGCCAGCACGTGCGCACACTGTAGCCCATGAACGCGAAGAGCGCCTTCGGCCCAAGTCCCTCGCTGAGACCTCGAGCCCCAGCGCGCCACTCGGCTTCGCAGCTGTTAAGGAACTGCACGTCTTGACGACAGCTGATCCCGAGCACTGGACACCCACGCGCAGTGATGTGCACGCTGGTCTGGCTCTTCCTCTCCTTCGCGTCGCCTGCCCAGTCGGAGTCTGCCCACACGACCAGGTCGACGATGTCCTGCGGCGCGGTGGGCTTGCCCATCCCCACGCCCAGGTCCCTCGTGCCATTCAGATACCTTGCCAGCCTCTCGAGGACTCGCATGCCCGCTTCACGGGGCGATGAGATGCACGAGGCCAGGTAGTTGATGTCGAACTGGGCATCTTCCGATCGTGCAAGTAGAACAGCAGGCACATCGTCACGCTCCTGAACAGCTTGGCCTCGTCTGGGCCAAGGTCGGGCGCGCCGCCCCCGCCCGTCCTGCGCGCCTCCACCCCGGGGATGGCGCCCCGGTTGTCCTCCTCAAGGGCAAGCGCCTACAGTGCCTTCTTGAGGTACTTCTCGTTGGGCTGCACGTAGGCGGCGTCGGCCTCTCGCACGCGCCGCCTCTTGAGAAACTCGTAGTCGGCACCGTCGCCCTGTAGGCCTGACCACTTCACCTCGATGTCACGGCCTAAGTCCAGCACGAAAACGGACCCTGCAACACCGGGCGCTGCGCCGTACATGTCGTCTATGCGCAGCTCCACCAGACATGGGAGCTCGGCGCGCCAGAAGAACTGGGGCGCGGTCGGTGACCGCTCGAAGCCCCTGGCCATGAGCTGCCCCGCGGCGAACTCGACCCAGCGCTTCCCTCCAGCACGCCGCCTTGGCAACTGCTTCGCGAGCTGCCAAACGCAGTCCTCGGAGTCGCCCTTCGCGCGGCGCTCTTCCAGGACCTCAGGTGGGCACTCGACCCACACGTCCTCCTCCTCGGGGACATGGTAGTACGCGTCCTCCGCGTCCACAGTGAAGGTGGGCCATCCGTGCTTCAGTGCCACGTTGTCAACCACTCGGTTGTCTTCCATGCTGCCCCCTGGCGCGAAGAGGTCGTCGCGGTACTCCTGCCACTTGAACTCTCGCGCGACGTACCTTGACTTAGCGATCCTGCATCCGAGGTTCGCGCCCCGCTTGTAGACATGGCCCCAACGGGCGCTGATCCCCTTGCCGGCGGCCTCGCTCCGTTTGACGAGCTTGCCCACCACGTGCTGTTTCAGGCCGTCGAGGGCCCGTCGGGTGGAAGCCTCCATCAACTGCGAGTCCGACGCATCATGGGGATCTGGGACATCCATGTCCCTGAGGATCTGCACGCAGTCAGCACGAACGCCATCACGGTGCTCAGCAGCTACTCCGCTAACTCGGGACTTCGCAAGGGTGCCACGGTTGTCACCGTCCTCCGCGGGTCGCTTCGGCGATCGACCCATCAGGGGCGTCTGCGGAGCCACACTCGATGGCGCTGCAGCCCTCGGCGTTATGGGGGCGTCGTCCCCCGCGCCACCTCCAGCCGACATCTGCGTCGCTGGCCCCGCCTGACTGTCCCCGGCGGTCGCCTCGGCACCACCTGCCGCGTCGGCCGAGGGCGCCGCCGCGGGCGCGCCCGCCTGGGCTGCTGGCCTGCCGCCATGGGCGGCCCCAGTGGACTGGGCAGCAGCATTCGGGCCTGGCCGTGCCTCAGCTGCCTCCTGCGCCGCCAGGTCGGCGTCCGCAGCGGCAGGGGGTGCAACAATCGGCTCGATCCCGCGCGGGACCGCGCCCTGCCCTCGGCGCTGCCATGGCACGCGCGTAATCGCCGCCACGGCGGTGCGATTGAACCTCCGCTCCTCGGGCAGCCCCTTGACGGTCCTCATCGTCGCTTGCTCACCCGTCTCGAGGGCGCATATGTGCTCGTCGGTGTCGTAGCTCTTCCCTAGCCAGATCGCCCTAGCGAAGCCCATGTCACCATCGACCTTGTTGGCCAGATCCATCATGACATGCTCATGGCCCTTTCTTAAGATGACCTTCTGACGGAAAAGGCTCTTGGCGAACGCCACCGTGGCTGTCACCGTGCAGGGATCAGGGCGCCAGTCAGGCTTCGGGGCACTCCTCATGGCACCCGCGTCGGCATCCGCGACCACCAGCACCACCTCCTCGCCCTGTCTCTGGCCACTATATGCCGCCACGCTGGTTCCGGGCAGGCTGCGCCGTCCGGCGGAAGGGGACGAGGAGGGGAGAAGCAGGCAGACGACGACGAACGCCCAGGCGGGAGGCCAGGTCATGCCCGATCACGGGGAGGCGTTCCACCTCCGCATCAAGAAGCTCATGGGGCCTGTCACGCCCACGTCCCTTCTGGCAGTGCTCGCACCGGCGCCGCGGTGGGCAATGCCGGTTCTCCTCGCGGCGCTGCCCCTCCTCCGGCGCCGGCTCGCGGACATCGGGGAACGCGGTCGGCTCCGGCACCTGCCCCGTCTCCGCCTGACGCCGCATCTCCTCGCGCCGTAGCTCGCGGAAGTCATCCGTCGCCGCCCCCCCTTGCGTCTGCCCTCGCAGTGCCCAGCACTGAGCCTTGGTCCCGTAGTGCGGGCCGTAGATCTCCTTGAGGCGCTCCTGCACGGCGTCGATCCTCGAGCTTGGCCCGAGCCCCTCGAGGTATAACCGCCCCAGCGGCTGCGTCGCCGCAGGTGCCTCCTGGCCCTACGCGGGCGCCGCCGCCTCGCGCGCCCGCGGCGGCGCCGCCGCCTCCTGCGCCCGCGGCGGCGCAGCTCCTGCACCTGGTGGCGCTGGGCCACGCGACCCTCGAGCTTCTGGGTGCAGCGGGGGATCCTCTCCTCGCACCGTCCCCCGCGGAGCTCCCGCGGCGCCCGCTGCGGCGACCCTGGC